GCTGTTCTGGCGAGCTAAGAAAATGTTTATCTCCCTGAGCCTGGCCTTCATAATTCCATTCCATTCCATCACAAATACAAAGACCTGTAATTAATAAAACGATTAAAAATGCAATAAAATTACATAAAATATAGTATTATAGTAACTGTGGTACAAATAGCAGTGGCAATCACCAAAATTTATGCTAAACTTTAACTGTAGGTAGGGCAGATACAACAAATGATAGCACAAAATCGGGCAACCTGGAAAGATATGTCAGGGTCCTGGTCAGATAGAAGCAATGACAAATAGACATTATGCCCTCTACCAGGGTAGTTCTTCATTATTATGTCATTATTACTATTTGATTGTTGTTTTATTATTGTATTGCTTTTTATTCCTAGTATCCGTACACCACCTACAATCCATTTGGATTGGAGGCAGTAGATAAAAGTGACAAAGAAAGAAGAAAGGAAAAAGAGTTGGTGGAATCTTATTTAGATCCAGCTGTTCATACAACAGATTTCCTAAGATGCTTCTAACAGGTCATTAGAGCTTAAGAAGCTTGGGAACTTTTGAATACTCACGCTAAACACGGCATATGGAGCTATCTAGAGCAACTATTAGTATTCTGTAATAGTTAATGGCAAGAGTTATTTCTGAAAGGTAAGTAGGAAAATGGAGAGCCAGTTTGGTCTAGTGGTTAAAGCACCAGGCTAGAAACCAGGAGTCCATGAGTTCTAGTCCCCCCTTAGGCATAAAACCAGCTGGGTGACCTTGGGCCAGTCACTCTCTTTCAGCCATAGGAAGGAGGCAGTGGCAAACCATTTTTGAAAATTTTGCCAAGAAAACTGCAGGGACTAGTCCAGGCAGTTGCCAGGAGTCAACATTGACTTGAAGGCACACACATACAAGTAGTAAAATATTCTTAGAGGTAGCATAGGTCATGTTAAAATAAACAGAAAAGAGCAGGGAACTAAATAGAAAAACATTAGTATTTGTCAGCTGTCTTCTGGATTCAATTCAAAGGGCATGCAAGCTATCTCCTACTTCACTTCCTAAGTATGGATAGCAGTCCTAGAACAAGATTCTCTTGGATTTCTAGAAGAGAAAATCCTTCTTTTTCAAATATTATATTTTAAGTGATTTATAGCAGTTTAAATGTCTAAAATGGCTTTACTGTTTTATTCTTGGGGACTTTATTGTTGTTTCAGATTTGACATGCTATGCACTGCCCTGGAGCTTTTTAACTGGAAGAATGAATAATGTCACAATACAACAACAACAACAACAACAGAGACTTAAAATCACACAAAGGAAGAAAAGTGTGTGGGGACCAATTGCATTTTCTCCTAGACTGTGTATAAATAAAATGGAAAATAATACTAATAAGCATGTTTCTATGAATGAAATCTTTAAAGTTGTGAGTTAACAGATATATTCTATACTTTACAGGCATTATATAACTTCAAATATTACACTCAAAGAAACCAGCTTCATTTTCTTCTTGACTGTGTATAAATAAAATGGAAACTCATCACGATAATGTTTGTACTCTGTCAGGCTGGTTTAATTTGATGGCACTGAGATACAACCGTGCAGCAGGCATATTTCAGCTTTTTTAAAACAAATGATATTTTAAGTAACTCTCAAAGATCTTTCCAGCATTTTTTTTTTAAGAAACAGAATACTGAAATGGTAGGAAATTAACATATAAATGACAGTGTTATAACAGTGTGTTATTATAGAACAATATTTATTTATTTGACTGGGAAAACAGTCATGCTTTTAAGGAAGCTGGTTAATGGTGATGAATGGAGAACGTATATTTAAATGTTTTGGTTTTTTTAAGTTAACATGATACCACTTACCAATCTAAATCTCTATTCATCTAATAATATAAATGCTATTTAAAAAATTAAAAGAATATATTTTTGTTACAAAATATATGATATTACTTACCAGCATAAATTAATCAGAATGCATGCATCATAACACTATCACATATACAAATGGCATGTTATCATTCTTAGCAGCTGGAACAGAGTTTCAGGGTAACTTGGAAAAGGAATGAATAAGTAGGTGATTAAAATTATGCCCATCACAAAGGAGAGACCAAATGAGTGCTGAGCTGTGATTGGCTCACCTGCCCAATTGATAGCACCACCCCTTTCTCTTCCTTGAACAAACAAACATGCTTTTCATGTGGGCTGCTGAGATGTAGGTAAGAATACCTACATCTGTGCAGCTTGGTTCCATCCTTCTAACACACACATAGAGTAATACTGGGAAAATATGGGGAAATTTCAAAGAGATGATGATAGCGGGGATACAAGTGAGGAAAAGTTTTCATAATTGCTTTCCTGAAAGTGGCATTACATGCATCTAAACAGATCTGATTACTTGCCAGGATCCTTAGAAAAAGATCCAAGTTAAGCTGAGTTATGCCTGTAGCTTTGTTGTAACTGTACAGTAATGTAGCATTTCCAAAGGCAGCAGAGTAGCTAGCTGTCCATTACAGCAACAATGCTACATATGAAAAGTGCTATCAGACTTGATTTATGAATGATAAAGCATTAGATGTCATAGGAGACATAATCCAGGGAAAGAAAATTTACAGTTTAAACCTAAGGTGCATGAAATGGTTTTACTAAGCCCAGTATTATAGGCTTTACTACAAAATAACACTTTTGAGTAGCAAGTCTTTCGATCAGTTTCAGAGGGAGAAAAAAGGATAAATGGGCTAGCTCAGCTTTATTTCTAGCAGCAACCAGATGGATATTCTTATGTAGCTCATAAGTACACTATGAACCATCCTTTTTTTCCCTGACCAAAACAGATATGATATCTCTAATATACAAGTTCCATATTATAGTTTATCATGAGCAATTTCCCTTGCTAGAGTCATCCTACATAAATCCTTTCTATAAGATTGCAACATCATCATTGTGCCAATTTCATAACTTGTTAAAGAGTATTCAAATGCATTGTCTTGCAACATATAAATATCATATATAAAACAAGTCTATGCCTGAAAGTGAGTTTTCTCTTTTTTTAATCTACTGCAATCCATTTCTGCAGATGATATCAAATTCTAACATTTAGATAAAGGTGACATATGGGAGAAGTCCTTTTACAAGTTAGTCAAAGTATGCAGAATCCCAATACATGCTCACAAAATTCCAGTTAATGTGTAGATTTAAAATATAATGTATTAATACATTGATAAATAAATAAAAAAGTGATTGGTATCATGATGTA